CGGGTAAAAACGCGCTACTGATAAACGTCAGCAGTAGCGTGGTGCCCCGCGCTACTGATAGCCCTTAGACCCGCACTACTGCTAGGCTTTTTCCTAGTAGTGCGCCTTGGTATTTTCCTACGGGGTCGGCGGGCGTACATCTCTGTCATCGTAAGTGAGCGGCGACGTAGCCACACGAGGAGGCACTCCTCGTCATCGATCATCACCGCCAGCCCATGGTGGCGGTGGGAGGACTGTGCGACTGCATCCCGATCCGCCGCCCTCTCCTTAGCCCGCTGCCACCCGTGGCGGGCGATGCGCGCCTCGGATTCTGGCGTGCGTGTCTGCGGTGCCGGATGAGCGGGCACTAAAACGCACCGCTGCCCTTGCGAAGCAGCGACCGAAGGATTAGGGCGGCGGTGTGGGCGAGTGAACAATGGGTCAGCTGCGTGGAGCGGGTGAACTGCGCGGTGCGAGAAGGGCATGCTCCGGCATCAGCGTTGCGTGACTGGCAATATGGGACAGAGCATAGTCAGAGCTGCCGCCCGTGTCCACCCACGAGCACTGCAGTGCGATGCGGAGGGCCAACTGATATTTTTGAACGTATCTATAATTTTTAATTGTCTAATGCTATTGTATTATCAATCTTAGATATTTTATATGCAATTTTATATCATTTTTGGGGGACTAACTTAATAACTCAGTGCCTATTGTCAGTTGTTGTTTTCTACTTGTTTTTGGTTTTACAAAAAATCTATACCAAACGGAGTCCAAATGCTACAAAAAAAATTTAACGATTTTTTTCTGGACATAAGAGACACTAGGAGTTTTGGGGGAGGACCAGAAGACCTACGAGGAGACAACAAGGCAACAGAGCGCACCCTGATGCCTTGTGGGCCCCTCATGGCTCCGTCTGACCTAATTCTACCGCTATAAATTCCCAAGCATTCCAAACCCCTCAGAGAGCCACCCAAAACAATTTTTCCGCCGCTGCTGCAAGTCTTGGTTCCGCAAGCGATCCCATCTGGAGGCCTTCTTCAGTACTCTGCCGGAGGGGGAACCGATCATGGATGGCTTCTGCATCAACCTTGCTGCCCTTCTAATGATGATTGATTAGTTAACCATAGACCTACGGGTCCGTAGTGATCAGCTAGATGACTTTTTATCTCTCTTTGATCTTCAATACAATGTTTTCTTTGGAGATCGATTTGATGTAATCTTCTTTTGCGGTGTGTTTGTTGGGATCCGATGAATTGTGAGTTTATGATCTGAATATTTTTTTTGGAAGTAATTGAGTCTTTTTTGAACGTTATGCTCTATCCATTTGGTTGGCCAATTAGATTGATTTATCTTTAGTGGCAGAGGTGCTTTATAGTGGGTTCAATCTTGCGGTGTTCTCACCTAGTGGCAGAAGGGGTAGCGAGGCACATATTTGTATTGTTGTCACTATGGGTAAAACGACGAGGTTTAATCATATTGGTTGATTTTATTCTATCTACACTATGCCATCTTACTTAAAGCGTTGCTCTGCACGTCATGAACTTAATATCATAGATGCAGGCAGGAGTCGGTCCACCGTGTATTGTCATAACTATGCGCTTTTCTATTAATTGCCCAACAATAATTTTTCTATGCACCGTATGTTATTTTTTAAAGAGAAGCCTCTAGTGAAAATTATGGCCCCGGGTATATCTTAATCAAATCACAAAAACTAAAAATAACTTTCTGCAATTTTACTTGTTTTATTTTACTTTGTAATTTTTCTATCTATCATTAACATATTTAATCCTTGCAAGTAAGGAGTTCAAGGGCATTGGCAACCCTCTTGCCCGCATTGGGTGCAAGTATTTGCTCTTGTGTGAGTCGGTACGGTTCAACAAGGCATTTGTGTGGCTCTCCTATTGGTTCAATAACCTTGGTTCTCACTGAGGAAAATACTATCCGCTACTATATTGCTTCACACTTCCTCTTAAGAAAAAATCCCAACGCAGCTCACAAGTAGCACATGCTCCTCCTCGTCGCTCACCACATCTTGGAGGAATGGATCCCAATCGTCACCGGATCCATCACCTCTGCCGCTACTGGAGATGGACATGGTGGATGGGGAGGTGGAGGATATCGGATTGGGAAAATGGGAGGCGAAGAGACGGAGAGTGGAGCGAAGTGAGTGAGCTACGGTTTGCTCCGGGTTGGGATTTTATGGTGACGAAGTAGGGTCGTGGTGGGCCAGCATGGTCCGACCTGATGTGACGGACGCGCCTGGGCGCGCCCTGGCATCCCCATATCCGCCCAGGATTTGGGCAGCATATGAGGGGTGCCGGACAACCCGAGCGTTTGAGGCCGGTTTGAGGCGCCTGGGTGGGTCGTATTTTTTTTGATTGGTCAATGAACGGTCCATCGGCCTGGGCGTCTGGGCCGGTTTGAAGCATCCGGCTATAGACGCTATTTACTTCTAATTTAAAGCCGTGGCCTACAATGTATATGGCATATCAATATATATGCCATACCTTTTTCGACGGTGCTAGCACAATACCCTATGCTTTGTTACTCCTACAAGATGAACAGGGAGTTCATGTGGTATATTCTATGAAAGCACACTACGGGGTTTGGAAGCATCAGGATAAGTATTAGCACAATGACTTTTGTTCTTGCTAGCGGCTACTTGGTGACTTGTCCACGATTCAGCTTTTAAACTCCGATGTCATATTTTATTTCGAGAAAAATGTTAACTCCAGATCTATTAGGGGATTAAGGAGGGAATGGTTTTTTTGCTGAATTGAGGGCACTTTCTACTTGGTTCATCCGATTGATTTTACTGCAAAGCTGTTAAAAGTTCGCCACTCAGTGAGTAGCCCTTTTTTTTTTGTTGAGCAGAAAGTCAGTGGGTAGGCGATGTCTGCTTCAAGTAGCCTCGTGATTACATACCCGTAGCTCATTGCTCATCATGCAGTTTTAATGGGTAGGCCACGTTTGTCGTTTGAGCACAACATAGCTGGGTCGGGATTGTGAGTTGTTAATACTATATTGCTCTTGTATGTTGTGTATGGTATTCCAGAGAGATAAAGTGTGATTGGTGATCATACTCTAGCTGATTGCTTCACACCATCTTTGCTAGGAACGATGAATTTAGATTGAGCTATATTATCAATTTTCTTCATGGAAGAAGTCAGAACATGTGTACCTACGGGAAGTACGCGGATCATGGCCTCCATGTGTTCTTGCCGGTTACTGTAGGGATCTAGCTACTCATGTAAAATCCCCACAAAATGACAAGTCCCAGTTGAAGCATTGAATCATAAATTCGGAAGGGATGATCCATGGGATACCAAAGTTTGCTTATTTTCACCTAGTTAGCAACTTATATTTGAAGTTTCTTTTTTGAAATGGAAGCTTTTATTGAATTTCCGTTCATTTTCCAGTTATCCCTTTGTTATACTAAATATATGGGTAATTGTAGGTTTGACTTTACCCGGCTTTAGTGTTTCTGTTTTTAGCTTTGAAACAATGATGACTTGATTATATTGTATTCCAATGCATAGATCGAGGGTGAGTGAAAGTATATAAAAGATCCAAAATGTTGCTTGATCGATACTTCAAATGTGAAACTTCGTGATTTTTTTCCTCTTATAATTTTGTTCATCAAGTCTTCCCCTCTTAAAAATTGTTCATCCAACTGTCCAAAAACATTTGGACGCATAGTCACATTTCTCTATAGTTGGGCATCTCTCGTACATTTCTTTTCTATTTTAATGAGCAAGTATAGTTGCGTGACCTGTATATTTGTGTGGTTAGATTTGGTATACTACGTAATTGTCTCTACGTCTTTTATGGCAAGTTATTATTTGATTTACTTTACCCACTACTTTACCACTGATATACCTATTTAAGAAAAATAAAAGAACCCATGCTTTCTAAAATGCAAAAAAAGAAAGAAATTTGCAACCTTTTGACATGGTGAATTGCCCAACTTATGAGTAGTTCATCTTTGCGCCAATGTGCCTGAATGTTGAAATTGTTGCTTGTTGTCTTTTGTGCTCATTCGCATATTAGTTCACGCCTGGGTCTCCTACACACACGCACACATGCACAAACCTTGAATTTCAGTAGATGTGGTTACACGTGGATCTATAGAAAATAGCTTTCTACAGACGCATTGTGTCAAATTTCTTCTAGGACCTATGCCAATGAGCACATGCACTGCACTCCACCAGTACCATATTGACCATGTGCTACTCAACGACGGCATTTGCCTGGCAAGTTTGTCGCAGCCCATGAGCACGCATATTACTCTTCTTATTTAAAGCTGTGGAATGAGGCATGATTTAATATATTTTCATACAATATATTTTTTTATTGTGAAAGTTTACATTGTTTTTGGTAAATTTGGTCAAACTTTATAAAGTTTGATTTATTTCAAAGCTAATATGCGGAGTAAATAAAAACGAATGGAGTACTATATACGCCCCATGGACTATGCGATATAGATAAGTTGCTCCATAACAATCCCTTAATATCTGCTCCCTGTAATAACTAGGGTCAGAGCAATTACCAAAGCATCAGACATTCTGAAATTTACAAGAAGGGCTCCACCATTTTGGCCCGAAATCTCACAGACAAGCTGCTGGTCAGGTGTCGCGACTCGTTTTCAGGGGTGTGGGTGGAGATGCTCTGCCAACTGCAGCGATGACTTTCATGCCCGGGAGCTCGACCGCGGCCCGCCAATGTTTTTTTAAGGTAAACAGAACTTTATTAAGCAGTAGGTTCAGCAATATCGCTGGCAACAAGAACGTTGTGATGCACTTAGGAGGTGGTTACAGGAATGGTATCGGTAATCAGATTACACAGTTTCAAGAGGTGTTATGAGTTCTTTCCTAGTTTGTTTGGTTCGCCACGGTAAAGGAAACCATGCAATCCGGACATTTTGTTGACTTAGTAACGGTTTGGTGATGGCCGTCTTACAAGGGACATTATGTAGTTTGTTACTTCAACTTGCTTGCACAACTAGTAAAGCTTGTGGTGCACTAATGATCTTGTAGATGACAAGATGCTACTGCCTGCAGGCGCAGGCTGGACCTAGTTTGCACGACGATCCCAAACACCTCGCCCATGTCCAGCGTCTCTGGGCCTGCCCCACCCGGAATCGCCCAGTCAAAGTGGTACAGGAGGTTTGCCAGCACAAGCTCCATCGTCGTGCTCGCAAACAGGGCTCCAGGGCACTGCCGACGGCCCGCTCCAAATGGGATGTACTCCATCTTTGGCCCTTGCTTGTAGTACTCCACGCTCATCTCCTCGAACCTCTCCGGCCTGAACTCTGCTGCATCCTCACCCCAATGTGCCGGGTCCGTGCCAACAGCGAAGGCATTGATCATTACGGAGGTGCCCCTGGGTACGTCGTAGCCCATCACTTGGCAATCCTCCATGGCCGCCCTGTGTATCAGTGACACAGAGGGGTGCAACCTTAGCGTCTCCTTGATGACCATCCGAAGATAGTGCAGGTCGCCGAGGTCTGCGCTGGTGATGGTGGACCTGCGGTGGTGTCCGAGCCTCTGCTGGAGTTCGAGTTTGGCCCTTGCCATTACGTGTGGGTTGCGGATGAGTTCTGCCATAGCCCATTCTAGCGTGGAAGCAGTAGTGTCCGTAGCAGCTCCAAATATTTCCTGTTGCAAATTATTGAATGTTAATTTTAGGCAATGTTGAATTGCATGTAGTATCAAACAGTTCATCTAAAAGTCGGGGAAAAAAAGTCCGAACTGATGGGGAAAGTCGAAGAATATATTATATTTTTTGAAATAAGAATAGGTTACTACTAGCTAAAAAGATTTGGTTGCAAATGAGTGATAGTATGAAGAAGCGGAATCACTTACAAAGATGACGGCCCCTATGATCTCTGACGTCAAAGGGAAACCGAGAGTGTCTTCCTCGTGCAGCCTAAGGAGCACGTCCAGCAGGTCTTCGTCCTCTTTAGGTGTAGGAGTAGGAGTACCAGTAGCAGTAGCAGTAGCCGAGGCATTATTTTGTTTCTTCTCCTTGCGCTCTTGGATGATATCTGCCAGGATTCGTTGTATCCGGGCGTGGCTCCTCCGCAGGTCGCGGGAGTCGCCGGTCAGCCACCGCACCAGCCGCGACGATGGGTAGAGTTCCACCAGGCTGAACCCTCCCACGAGCGAAGCCAACACGGCGAGCTCTCGGAGGTACGCCTCCTGCTGCCGACACTTGCCGCCAAACGCCGCCCTGGAGATGATGTTGTTTGTCAGCCTGGCCAGCTCCTTGCCAATGGCGATGATGGCGGATGACGAGGCAGAAGACGCGGTAGCCACCGACTCCATGAGGTGTGTGACCTCGGCTTGCTTGATGGAGTCCATCCGGCGCACCTGCCGTGCGCTGAGCAGCTCCATGATGCAGAGCTTGCGCATCTGCCGCCAGTGGTCGCCATAGGGCGCGAAGGCAAAGCCTTTGCCCCCGCAGCTGACGATGTCCAGCGTGGGACCGCTCGGGCGGGTCGCGAAGGTGAGGTCACTCGTCTTGAACACCTCCATCGCCGCCTCGGGGGTGGACACAATGACCCTGGGCACTTCGCCGAGCCTCAGCAGCATGAGTGGGCCGTGCCGGCGCGCCAGGCGGAGGAATGCGCGGTGGGGCGGCAGTTTTGTGCCGACGAGGTGGTGGAGACTGCCAATGATGGGGAGGTTCCATGGACCTGGAGGAAGCTTGGCTCCGGTGTCCTTACCACCCAGAACCTGCCTCAGAATCAAGGACATAAGAATGGTGGCTACGGCCACCAGCCAGAAGCTTCCGTAAGGGAGTTGGTCAGTATCCATGGCGACTGGAGGAAGCTTGGTCTCCGGTTGAACTCGGTACTGGATGTTGGCAAGCAATTTAACTGTTATGTACTGTATTTATAGTGTAGTGTGGATGGACTTGCTGCACCCAAGACAGGTCATGCAAGAAAATATCTGCCACACCACCGAAAGTCCAGACCATGTCGTAACGACAACAACGTATGGGAGCTGAATAATTCAAAATGTACATTTTCCTCATCATACCAACAGACTAAGCTGTAAGTTGTAAACTTTCTTGGTTTCAAATTGAGGTTCTTGCTTCCAGGTTTTAGGTTAGTCCTAAGTCAAACTTCCTTAAGTTTGACCAAGTTCGTAGAAAATTTTAGTAGTAATATATATCCATAAAAATATACATACATACATACATACATACATACATATAATGGCACTGGTTTAGCGTTGTAGATTTTGTTACATTTTTTATAGCCTTGGTCAAACTTAAAAAAGCTTGATTTAGGACAAACATAAGAGTTCAAATATTTTGAAACGGAGGGAATAGATACACCCTGCAGGCCTGCACACATCGCTACTACAAGCACAGACTAACACAGTACTTAGCAATACTGTATTAAAAATTTACGAGGTGCTTACCAAAGTTATGATATTATGCACACCCACTTTATTAAAATGACTAGAATATACACTAGGCCTTATGTTTTTGTGACTACAAAGTAATGACCACATATCATATGCTCATAAGACTTATTTTCCATCACACACAATAAAAAAAGGATATATATATA